TTTTTTTTATTTTTTTTTTTTGTCTGTTTCTCACGCCACCGCCCCCGGTGGCGTGAATAAAGATAGCCTAAATCCCATCCAAAAGCTGTTGTTAAAGATGCCCTTAATCGGTAAAAGGAGCAATGTCGAACTGTTGGTTATTTTTTATTTAATTTTGCTATGGAATCATCGGATGGCACGATTTATAGAGTCATCCGTACTTATTCACAAATAGTGTATTGACACGCATAGACGGATATATATATATAAACTTGTTCTCAAGCATTTTTCATAGTGAAAAAAAATATCAAAGTGGGGGGTAAAAATTATAATACTTAGGACCCCAGATGCAAAAAGCTCGAAACAAGAAACAGTCAATGAAATCAGTAGCTTCTTGTTAGAGAAAAACTTAAACTGAGGGGAAAAACTTGTTGAGATTAAGAGGCAAAGAATAGAACTCTTCGCTCCTCGTATCCGTCTTAAATGACCGGAACTTCTCCCACCAATGCAACCCTCTGTCTTTCCGACTCGTGTTGTCCTTTGGAGGCAATGTCACGTCCAAAATCAACGCCAAAAGCCCTCCAACAAACGCCTCAGACGAGAAAGCTACGTTGATCATGTCATTAAACTGCCAAAAACACACAGATTACATAAACATTACAGGGACCCCATAAGCATATGATATTGATAAAGTTCCTTTTTGGAGGTAATAAACAACAATGCTTGGAATTGATCAGATTGCAATAAGATCTTTTACCCATCTTGCATTGGTGTGTACTGGGCCGAAACCTTTAACTGATTGGTATTCGTTGAAGTACTGCGGTATGGATAAGCCCATGAAGATTGAAAAGGCAAGAATGAACTTTGTCCTGAAGCTATTCAGGTTGCAGAATTGCAGGAAAGCAAGACCTCCCATACCTTTATCGCTCAACAAAAAAAAAATAGTAGTCAATAAATACGGGACCTCTGAATCTCAAAGCGATTAGTTGTTCTGTTTTGTTTTGTATGTAATTTAAAACTTCACCATACAATCTACACAATGTAATGGGATTAATAAGGCATTACCAACATAGGCAAAGAGAATGCAATAAAGCGCGGCAACTATGGGTGCAGGGATTGAAGCAAAGACGGCACCAAATTTTCCTGAGGTGTAATAAATAATAGCAGAAATAAGTAAGAACCTCAAAGCCATTTATTTATACTTGGATATGTGAAAAAAGAAAAGCTAATCCAAAGCTACTTGCCAAGTATAGAAAAGAATATCATAAAACCAGCCGATATTTGTATCACTCTTCGACTCCCGACGCGCGTTAACCCAAGCAAACCACCATTTTCTCTGTTCAAAGAAAAAAAACTCACAGATTTACTAACCATCATTAACGAAGATGTCTTTTTTTTTCATAAAAAAAAATAATAATTCAGTTTTGTATTACGATAGTCTCACATGGAAACTGATGATCCACTGCCGGTACCAAAAATTCCAGATAACAAGATGCCGACTCCCTTGAATATGAAAAAAAGGAGCATTTATTTCGTTAAAAACCATTAAAAACCTTATATAAATACAAATCATTTTTACGATAAACTTCATTCCAATAGTGTTTTTACCTGCCAGCCAACACCACGACTAAGAACAGAATGCGGCACAGGAGTTGCACTCGCGTACCTCGACACAGCAATGAAAGCCCCAGTGGACTAGCAAGCAACGGAAAGATTGGATAAATAAAATTATAATTATGAAAAATTTCCAAGAGTTAGGAATGTTCGATTAATACCTCAACGAGAGCGACAAAAGAAGTGGCCATCATGGCAAATGATTCTCCAGCATGGAAAGTCGGGGGACCCCATTGAAACGGATAGGGCACTCTAATCCTTTAATTATATATATATTTTTTTTTTTTTAAAAAAGACAGAAGGGTGAATTTGAATTTATGGTGGGAAAAATGTTTGAAACTTTAATCTTACCAAGGAGCCCCACTTATGATGCCTGCACGGTCAGTTCTGCAGCTAAGTTGGGTTGCGTGTGGCGTATTCTTATAAGCTCCGCCAACTGTCAGCAAGTGAGCGTATATCCAAACAATGATGACCGTGAACAGAACCGAAAACCGGTCAAACACATTCCGACCACCTTTCATCACATGTGGTAAATACTGTAAACAGCAGCATTCACAGATTAGCAAGTCCTTGTTCAAACTTTTTCGTTTTTATATATTTTATATCTTGGCATGAAAACTGGAAATGTATATATGTGACCTGTGAAAAGATTACGAGTAAGATAAGCTGAGGCAGTCCCACCTCGATGCATTTGGTAAGCTGCAAAAAACATTGATAAACATTACAGATCTGTATATGTGTATATGCCTTCTAAGTGCTTGCAAAAAAACATAAACATTACCAGAGGAAAACCCAGTTCGTACAAACCGAATCCCGTGAGAGCTACCAATGGAACTGTCGAAAGGGGGCTCATAAACCTGAAATTGAATTCAAGTCTTAGCCACAAAAAAATATTTAAGTTATTTCTTTATTATGTTTCAATATCTTACTTCAAAATTCCTTTTTTTTCTTCCATTTTGGGGGTAGAAGAATATATGTACTACTAGAAAGTTCACCTTGTCACATTTCGCCATAGCCCACTAAAGCCGATGACAATCTGAAGAGAAGAAGCTACAATCATAGCCCCCTGAATTCCTCTCATAATCCTCCTGAATTTCTGAACAAACCGCACAAAATGTTGCTCCAAATTAACTAACTAATGTAGAATTATAGCATGTTATGCACAAAATGTGAACATTCACTTAAAAGGGACCTCAAAATACTATAAAAAACAAGAAAAAGATGTTTCTCCTTGTATACTAAAAACTCACACTATTTTTTTTTTTTTTAAAGCAAATTAAGAGCAACTCCATATATACATAACCAATTACTCACCACTTGAGGTTCAACAACATCACTATATCGAGCAGCCAATACAATCGATATAGTCGCCGGCAAGTAAGTGTAAGAACCTCCGATCACAGCCGGCAAACGGGTCCCGAACAACGTCTGAGTTAAAGTATTCAGTCCAGCAACAAATTGTAGTGTCTGGATCATTACTGCCTTCTCCTCCTGAAAAATGCCCAAAACTTTAATTTTTTTAAAACAAATTTTTTTTCTGGGTTTTTCCTCAATAACCCAAAATTAATTAGTTAATTAAATTTGGGAATGCTTCCTTACTTTTCCTCCTCCCATTTGAGGAACCAAGAAAGAAGGTATGAGAACAGTTGTGCCCAGCATCACCAGATAGTGTTGGAACCCAAGCAATATAGCCTCGGCTAAAATATATATATATATATATATATATA